CTACAAAATGTAATACCTTGGAAAATGCAGTTTAATACTTTTTTTAATTCTTAATTTTCGCTAAATTGATTTATCAACTTTTAATACTTTTTAAGACCCCGCGGACACCCTGATGTATGTCTCATCAGATTGAATTGGAAATATGTGAAGATTTAAGCTGAAAAATATACTTTTCAGTAGGGAAGAATAGTATTAAAAAAATATTATCCAGATCATTAGTAGACACCTTAGACTAGAGAATTACATTTACGCAAGTTGAAACAACTAGTACTCAGTAAGTCAGTTTAGTTGATCATTCAGGTCCCGTTACTAGACAATCACAGTAATGTTCGATATGGTGCGATAGGGACAGTGAAAAAAAGTGGATTCTTTTTTTCATATACAATTCTAAAGTCACAGGTCACACCTACAACTCTACACTACTGGGTCTGTAAATTAGGTTTAACAGGTCAACAAGATGCAATGCTGTGAGCTCACAGTGTCAAGGCAGACGGCTGCCTGAAGGTCAGGAAGAAAGCCCACTTCTAGCAGGTGGAGAAGAAAATGTTGGTTCTCAATGCCATAAACCCGGTCCAGGAACAGAACCATAGCTGCCTTGTGGTCTGGGCAGAACACTGTGGATAGGTCAGGATCAACCACCAGACCATCTGCACAAACAAACACAAAGTAAAGACATATACACATATTTATAAATGGGTGCATGTAAATGTATCTATAGCAAGCCATGTGTGTGAATCTCTTATCCAGACAGGAAAATCAAACTGTGTCCCCAGTGTCGAAGGAGTTCATAATAAATCAATACAATCTGATTTGAATAGGCATTGATTGTAGACAAGTCCGGTGTCTGTGGTTTTATACAAGATGAATTGACTGTAGTGATTTGACCTTTAGACACAGAGGGAAACTGAAAGGCGATGCTGATGACTCCTTCGAGATCCTGAATGGGGATGAGCGACCTCAGGATGGCTCGAATGCGGATAGCTTCTCCTTTGCCTCCTTGAATCAACTGGATCAATAATTCAGAAGAAAACAATTGGTCAGCTGTTTGCAGATTAAAGAGGGATTCTCATGATGATACCGTCATAAAATAAAGAATATTTTAATGTACATATATTGTACAGCCAGTGCATGGAAGTACACTGGCTCTATGAAATGTAAGAGACACCTATTGTTGAGTTACTTCATATATTAAATCTTGCTGATATATTTCTTCCAAGTGTAATCTTAAAATGAGTCTTACCATTTACATTTATTTGCTTTTTGTTAACTTCTAAATGTTTTAATACATTTTACAAAACCTCTCAAAGCATTTTGGATAGCAGAAAATGTCCTCGTCTCCCTTTTGTTTGCAGTTCAATGACACCAATATAAATAAGGAAACTAAATGACATAGAAGAATACAGTATGGTGGTACAACTAATGTTATGGAGTTTTATCAGATGCATCATTGAGCAAAAAGAACAGTCAGGACTTTGGTCCTAGGTAAAAGCATAAACGGATTCTTCTTGTGTTTGTTTGGTTTGTTCTGGCTCATTATTGGAAAGGCAGTTTGCAGACTTTTTCCCATTAGTCTTTATTGTTTGAGACATCTGCAGATATTGATGTGGAAAAGCACTCACATGCATCTCTGGAGCACAGCGGCCCAGCAAGTCGATAAGGGCAGAGTAGAAGGTCATGATGGCGTGCCCCATGTGAATGAGGTCATCATTATTGTCCTGGACAACATCTCTGTTGGTGGGAAGAATCCGAACGGTCAAAAGCTTGTCCAAAAACTGAAATAATCATAAATCATCATTGTGTTATGATTGATTATCCCTAAATAAAGCAGCCCATTAGCGAGATAAGATCTTTTCTCCTACTTTCCAATGACATTCATATTTATTCAAAATTCTTCCCGTTACAATAAAAAAAAGGAGCAGATGTCCGCTCCCAACCCAAATAAATCTTGAACATCGCCTTTTAATAATAATCAGTGTCATTAAACTGTTACATTGTTGTTGTTAGCCTATTCAACCCGTATTTATCAAGGGAAGGCTGGCTGAACACAGAAGCTGCATTCCAGCCAAGAAATGCTCCAAAAAGCCTGAGAGGAAATGACTCCTGAGACTTATTATCAGAGGGCATAACAACAGTGCTGAACAGGGATATACCCAATACAATATTTCACTACACTTTGGTGGCTTTCAATGCTGTTAATCATTTACAAATAAAATGTGATGCAGTTAAACTGTCTGTGGTCCTTTCTACTGCAGACTTCTCAAAACAGTAAAGTATACATTAGACACTATTAGGTACACCATTAAACAAATTGACAGAATCTCATTCGTTTTGCACGCAGCATTATCAAATTGGTGATACCCAGTTTGGATAAATTAGGAAAAAAATCCTTTGGAGTACTACTAACAGTGCTCTGTTGGACTGGTAGGTGGTGCAAGCTCCGTCCATGGAAGGGTCCTCCGAGATCCTGATGGCTTCCTCCATTGCTGATAGGAGGCCGTTTCCCCCGTCCCCTCGCAGAGCGGGGCCAAAACACTCGGGCCGACGAATCAGCAGCCTCAACACCAGGTAAGCATTCTCCTCTACACTCTCACCTGTGGTTCCAGAAACACACAAGACAAAACAAAAAATTCATCCACAAAAAACACACTGGATGCTGCACTAGGTCAGAAACCAGAGGACACTGTGAGGTCCACTGTAGACGGACCACTTTNGATGGAAACTTTCCACGGGAATTAACGGGAATAAACTGGGAATTTTCTAAATTGAAGTTTGGCTCTTCATAGGGAACTTAAATAGAGTTGGGGAAAGTATATTTTAGCATAATCTTGACTAAAACAAACATACTTTCCCCAACTCTATTTAAGTTCCCTATGAAGAGCCAAACTTCAATTTAGAAAATTCCCAGTTTATTCCCGTTAATTCCCGTGGAAAGTTTCCATCTTTGAAAATTCCCGGAATTTTGCAAACCTAATCTCTTGGGATGAGGGCTTTGGGCGCTGACCCTTCTAGACTGTAAGAAAACCTCGCATTAAAAAAAAGAGTCCTCGAAGTTGAGTTCATTATTTAGTTCATTACCTCCCTCGCTCGTGCTCCATTTCTTCCTCTTTCACACTTTATTTCCTCCGTTTGCCGTTTTGCTCTAAGCTGAGTTGTCAGTAGCGTTTGAAGTCTTTTCTTTTTAAAGGGCTTCCTCCTGTCCTCATTTTTCTCTGCCTACTTCCTCACCAGCCCTGGATTGAGATGCCTTTGGTAGAGTTTGCAGTTTTGAGCTTCAGTAAAAGCTCACTACTTTATCAGATTCAGCCCTGATGGCGACTATTCATCACAAGATTAAACTGTTATTTTGTCCGATCTGTTAAGTCTTTCCCCACCTTAGCCCTACTGAATGCTCCTCTTGGCCATGTTAGTGCTGCCTGGACTTAAACAAACAGTCTCATGGAAAGACATCTTGACTCGGGGCAGATGCCATTTTCCTAACTTATATTAGTCATTTTATATCTATATTTTATGTTTGTTCACCAGCAGGCGTTCAGCAGCGTTTCCTCTTGACACCCGTAAAGCAATCATAGTACATAGAGATAATAACATCTCAAAGTAATAACCTTACCATCTGTGTCTATAATAACACACTTTTGCATCATCAAATCTGACATTTGTGGTATTTTCTGAGGTACAAAATAGAGTTTTTTGCATGAGTTTAATTTCATACCATCTGGAAAGAGTTGGAAATGTCAGATTTTACAAAGAATGTTACCAGTTTTCTACCAAGTCAATGACCTTTATAGTAGGATAAATAACTAGAACTCCACCTGATGATTATTAGTTGATCGGTGGGTGCCGCCTCAACACTTATGATTGATAGCAGGTTGATTTAAAGTGCTCTGAATTATGCAGCTGTCAACATTTTACAACTTCTTGACAAGCCAGTGTTTCTGTATTGTATCTCACTGATACATATAACAAAGTCTAAACTCTCCTCTACCACTAAAAGTGCTGCTAAAAGTGCATTGCGCACAGTGCTACCTCAATATCACATGGTCCTTTACTCAGGGTGTCCACGGGTCTTAAAAAGTATTAAAAGTTGATAAATCAATTTAGCGAAAATGAAGGCTATTAAAAATTATTAAACAGCATTTTCCAAGGTAGGCTAAATTA